GTGGAGTTGCGCAAAACAGAGATACACAGGGGGGGGGGGAGGATGTGGGTGTGTGCTTTGATAAAATCCAAGACGGAAAAGTACTGACAATTCACCACAAGCAACATTCAATGTAAAAAGAGATAACACTCTGACTGTAACCGTGTACCACCTACACATATGGAAACAAAACTAAGGGACGTAATATATCTAAATACACTTCGCAGTCTAGAGTTACATCCCCTATCAAGTATTTCTAATAAGAAGGAAAATATTTGCAAGCAACTTATAGATAGGTAAGTTGTATCCCGCCAGGACATCACACAAGCGATTAACACCCGGTGACACAAAGTGCTACCATGCGGATGAGGATCAGCCATGGAGAGGTCCCTTGTTCAGCCGTTAGGCCATATTTAAGGCTTCTTCCATAAGACCTCATCTACTTAATTCAGGACACATAATTGACACAGACTGCTTTCCGTGTGGTTTATCACACTGAACAGGAGACTGTTGAGAATGGCCGAAGCTTTAACAATTAAAATCAACAACCCCCTCCTTTGTAAGCAGACGGAAATTATAGTAAATTTGAAGTAACCCTGGTAAGTCACGTGACTTCGGTGAGCTTCCTGGGGCCAAAACACAGATGATGTGTCGAAAAAAAACTATTCGCATTTCAGCTGAATTTATTCAGTTTTGTGCTTCATTTTATGTTGATGTAACTCTCTAGTAACGAAAATGACAAGATACAGAGAAATATGCCTGGCAACAAATTGTGCAATGTATTTGTGTCCACATTATTTAAATTCATTACGGGAAAACATTGTTTTGAATATCTTAAGCTTCACCCCCAGTGACCAACAGTGAAGCGACTAGATGGATTATTTAAACTGAAATGTAAAATCGCAGTACAGGATTATCAGTTACAGTTTCTCAAGGAATGTCTCGAAACGGGATTATTCCCACATAAGTACTTCAAATCTCTGAGGGCCGAGAAGATTTACTCAACGTCTATAAACATGAGGACATTAACCAAGATCGAGATTGAAGAAACACAAGGTGAACTGTGTAACCTACAACGTGTACATAGTTCTGCATACAAGACCACTGATGAATTGAGTTTGTTTGGCTACCTAAAGTTCACAAAATTCTGCAATGAAACAGTTAAAAGAATCACACACACACACACACACACACAAAAACAAGACTCAAGAAATCACTGAGCACCAAGAAAACTAATACCCATATATTAGACAACTCACAGAAGTATGTGAAAAATCTATCATAATAACATATACTTAACAAAATTCAAACAGAGGCCCTTGCTTATGGATTGAAGTTCTGTGTTAAGCCCAAATATGTAAACCAGATCGAGTTTAAAGCTCAGTTTGAAATGTTGTTCGACCAGATGTCAACGTTACAACCTACATCTACCGAGTCGATCAGGTGGCTGAAGGCTTAAACTTGTGGACTTAGAACACCAGTACCGCATAACACCGTCAAAACAATCTGGTCAAAATATCACATACAGGCACTGATGCACACAGCCTTATACACAAACAGGCACTGATGCAGACAGCCTTATACACAAACAGGCACTGATGCACACAGCCTTATACACAAACAGGCACTGATGCACACAGCCTTATACACAAACAGGCACTGATGCACACAGCCTTATACACAAACAGGCACTGATGCACACAGCCTTATACACAAACAGGCACTGATGCACACAGCCTTATACCCAAACAACCAGCCAAAGTTGGCTCCCAAAAATTGCTTGAATGCACGAAGTTAAAGGCTCGAGGCTGCTGTTGTGTAGCAGCTAGATGCTTGCCTAAATTGTATGCACGAAGTTAAAGGCTCGAGGCTGCTGTTGTGTAGCAGCTAGATGCTTGCCTAAATTGTATGTACAAAGTTAAAGGCTCGAGGCCGCTGTTGTGTAGCAGCTAGATGCTTGCCTTAATTTTATGTGCACGGTTAAAGGCTTGAGGCTGCTGTTGTGTAGCAGCTAGATGCTTGCCTACATTGTATGTACATGGTTAAAGGCTTGAGGCTGCTGTTGTGTAGCAGCTAGATGCTTGCCTTAATTGTATGTACACAGTTAAAGGCTTGAGGCTGCTGTTGTGTAGCAGCTAGATGCTTGCCTAAATTGTATGTACACGGTTAAAGGCTTGAGGCTGCTGTTGTGTAGCAGCTAGATGCTTGCCTACATTGTATGTACACAGTTAAAGGCTTGAGGCTGCTGTTGTGTAGCAGCTAGTTGCTTGCCTACATTGTATGAACACAGTTAAAGGCTTGAGGCTGCTGTTGTGTAGCAGCTATTTGCTTGCCTACATTGTATGTACACAGTTAAAGGCTTGAGGCTGCTGTTGTGTAGCAGCTAGATGCTTGCCTTAATTGTATGTACACAGTTAAAGGCTTGAGGCTGCTGTTGTGTAGCAGCTAGATGCTTGCCTAAATTGTATGTACAAAGTTAAAGGCTTGAGACTGCTGTTGTGTAGCAGCTAGTTGCTTGCCTAAATTGTATGTACACAGTTAAAGGCTCGAGGCTGCTGTTGTGTAGCAGCTAGATGCTTGCCTAAATTGTATGTACACAGTTAAAGGCTCGAGGCTGCTGTTGTGTAGCAGCTAGATGCTTGCCTGGGCCACACCGAGTCTCCATTTTTTTCCATCAAAAATTACATTGGCTTCCAGGTTAATTTTGCCTAAAATGGGTACCGGATAAGGTCTTAGGAAAATAAGCAGTCGCCATGACATTGATGTTATGCCTTAAGTTAAAGGCTCGAGGTCACTGTTGTGTAACAGCTAGAGGCTTGGCTTTGACACAATGAGTCAGATTTTTTTGGTCTAAAATGGGCACCAGATAAAGTCTTGGGAAACAAAAGCAGTCGTTGTGACATTGATGAGTCCCCCACCCCTCCTCCAGAGTGCTGATTGGTCTAGAATTATATGCCCATAACACAGTGGAAAAAGGTTTTGAAACGTTATTGGCTTGATAAAATGGTATAATCTAACTTTCTTTCAAACTGACATTAACATGTTTTGACAACTGACTGACTCATGCTGTGGCTTCTGACTCTTTGAATTACATGAGAATTAAAAATTAAAAAAAAAACTATACTAAATTACTGCAACATAATTACTAAAACAAACATATAACTTACCTGAAGAGGATTTTCCATGAGTAGAATTGTTTCAGGACACAGCTGCATTCAAGAAGCACGTGCAGCTTTACAAGTATTCCTCTTTTTGTGTGTGTGCGCTCATCAGCTGTAACCTCTAGGGAAGGAAAAGTTCTGGCTGTTCGTCCACATCCAGACTTTGGTTTTGTTCCAGGATTTGACTGCTGCGTGTACAATCTGTTTCACACACCTGACTTATTGTATGCACACTGTTGGTTCTTCACAAATCAGGCAGACGCAGTGAAATTCAAAGAAAACAATCATCCAATCTATGCTGGCCAGACCAGCTACAGAGAACCTGTTTCTAGGATGGCCATGAAGAAGTGTATAAGCTTGGTTCTGGTGCACCATTATGCGTGTTTCAGCACTATAACATCCCAGCTTGCGAGTTGAATCTCAAACATCTCGGCTACGAAATTTCTTTTACCAAACCGCGGTAGGAGGAACTTGTCTCACCTCAATATCAGAAACGCTACTAGAAAAATAAACCTCATCTGATCCTCTGACCCTACAAGCTATGCTGTCGGTAGCATAGCTACTGGCAGAGTCAAGACAATCAGAAAGGCCACAGGGTAAGGGACACGACAATGAAAAAAAAAACATACTGCCTTGCAGATAAACCGAAAAAGCAACAACAACAAAAACCTGAGAAGGCAGACCTGACAGATGTGCCTGTGAAAAACGGACACAAGGGGCTGCAGATGAAACAGCATTTTATAATTCACTACATGGTGATTTGTGGTAAAATTATTTTAAAACAGATAACTGTTCAAGCTATTTATCAGTGTAAAAGTAGACCCACCAGCAATGTCTGCTTAAAACCACAGAGTGCAGGAATCACAAATTCTACTTCAGCAGATGATGTTGCTTCTCATTAACCCCCATTGAAAAAACATAAGACTTTCATAATATCATGTCCTATCTTTTGTCACCTCCTGCAGACAGCTTCATGTCCACACAAATACACACACAAGCAATTGTGTATATGCATATGTATGTGTATGCATACGTATGTGCGTAAATCTATGTATGTGTGTATACATTCTAAAATATACAGCAGTCATGTAGAGATAGTATTTCAGACCTTGAATCTCAGAGCACTTTTCTTATCGAGACATTTCTGGCACTTTGTGAGGATGCTGGGTTCGTCAGGCTAGATTTGTGTGAAGGTGTACATGTCCACTCAACCACCCACTGGACCTCGACAGCTGAACAACTAAGCTAGTGTATGTACTCTTCCTCCAATACACCTGATAAGATGTATCTGCTCATGTGGCACATACTTCAAACCCCTCTCTCTCTCTCTCTCTCTCTCTCTCTCTCTCTCTCATGCATGCACTCATGCACGCACTCACACACATAACAGGATGCAGACTACACAGGCATTGATGTGCAGCACAGTTTCTGCAGCAACTTATTTAACATGACAAACTTGATAATTCTATAACCAAATTTTTAACACATCAACATACTATTCATCCTTCGCATCTTTTCAGTATAGTCTTTTTCTTTGTTTGTGTGTGTTTAAGGAGACAGAACATTAAGTCAAGTCATTACCTAGTAAATAGAAAAAAGAAACGATTCTACATGCACTAGCAGGGTGACAGAAATGACAGCCAAAAAATCTGGTAGCAATTTGAAGCACAAAAATTAGTTAATGTGTATCCTTCCTTTAAGGACGTTGCAGGATCAACCACAGAATTTTTCAGCTGATTAGTTTTACAAGGCAAATTAACATCTGCTACTGCTTTCTGAATGGTCACCAGTGAATGCCATGGTGGAAATCAATGTGAATAATTCCCAAATAATAGAAATGTTGGAATATTGGACACAGACACATAGAAGAGGCTGCAAACATGGTGTACTCACAGTTCATAGAATCCAGGAGAACCGCCAGCAGCTTGCCAATGCTTTCTGTGTAGTACTTGTTGATATCAAAGTTCAAGGGATTGTTGGAGAGATCTGGCAAATTAACACACATTCACTAATCAATGCTGTCAGTGATAGCTTTCTATGTGTAAGGTCTGCTTCTCATTTACCAGCTGTAAACTCCAGAGAAAAATCCTGATTGTTCATCCTCTTCTGGGTTTTAGTGTTTTTTCCAGGACTTACCTGGGTGCTGCGTGCAAATTTGTTTTACAAATCTTGTTTAACTATGTGTTTCAACTTTGAAAGAAATCTAGATTTTTAACTATGCTGACCAGGCTCCAGTTTTGAACCTGTCTTTTATCACAGACATATGCTACATTAACCCTTTGTATTCAATATTTCTTCTTCTTTTTTGCGTTCACCAGCTGTACACTCTGGCGGAAAGTTCTGGGTGCTTGTCCATTTCTGAACTGCAGTTCTGCTCCAGAACCTGAGTGTTGCGTGTGCATCAGTTTTACAGATCTCATTCTCTTGAATACAGACTGTTGGTTCCTTGCCTCTCCGGCAGATGCACTCTGACTTCAAAGGAAGCTCCCCAATTAGTCGACTCTTACGACATGCTTTTGGGGAGGCAGTGAGTCTATTCTTGTTTTCCTCACAATGGGGCCCCAGAACCCACACAGGGGCATTCGATATTTGAATTGTACTACTTCTGTCCCCTAATGTCTCTGTTAAAACTCCTTGAGTACTATTAGTTCTTCTTCATGTTCATGGCTGTAAACTCTGGTGAAACTTCTGGTAATTTGTCCACTTTTGGACTTTAGTTCTAGAACTGGAGTTTTGCGTGCATATTCTTTTTACAGATCTGGCTTAATTATCTGTATGTAGACTATTGGTTCCCTGTCCCTCAGGCAGATGGACTCCAACTCCAAAGGAAACCCTTTAGCTGACTCTTATGACCCGCTTGTTAGGGAGGCAGTGGGTCCATACCGCCCCCACCCCACCCCACCTACAATAGTGCGTCAGAACCCACATGGGAATAACTGTTAATTCTTGTTAGACCAATCTCTATGAGATAGAAAGAGGTTAAAAAAACAACTTCTGAGTAAAAACTGAAAGAGTAAAGAACAGTGCAAACAAACAAAACTCCAGCTCACCCAGCGTCTGCAACTGGAAACACTTTCCCAGCTCATACGGCAAATCTTGTATTCTGTTTGAGCTTAACTTGAGCTGTCGTAGGTTCACTAGATCCCCAATTTCTGGTGGCAGCTGATTAATGAAGTTGTGCGAGGCATCCAGGTGTTCAAGGTTGACTAGTGTCCCAATCTGTGAGGGTAGGTGGGACAGGTGGTTGTTGTCCAGGTACAACACTGTCAGCCATTCCACCTTCCATAAGTTGAGGCTCAGATTCTGAACACAGCCTGCAATTAACAGGAATTTATTGTTGTTGTAATGACTGGCAACTCATTTCACCTAAGACTAAACTCTGGTCTTGATTCAGAACTTGTGCTGTACATGCACATCCATTTTAAAGATCTGGCTTATTTGTATGCAGACTGTTGGTTCCTCACCTCAGATGAAGCACCCAGTGGCACACTGAGCATAATATGCCAGACCCATAACTTTACAGGCTAAGTGGCACTTCATAAATGATGTGGTCAACATAGTGCCGGCTGCATGTACTTCCCAGGAGATTTTCTAGTACCCATTTTTGGTTGGGTTGACCTAGGAGCCAAGACAAATTTTCTTCCAAATCTGCCTGGTGAAGATTTGAACCCAAGACCTTTGGGTGAGCGGCAAGTGTACAGCTCCTTCACAACTGCCGTTCATGTACTTCCTGAAGATGGCAAGCATTATTAGCAAGACCTGCTTCTTCTCCCCATAGCCCAAAGCCTGTGCAGTACTGTAGAGACCATGTGTTGCTCATGCAGCATGATCCCTTCCTAGGCCTGCCTTGTTTACTCAAATGGAAAGGTAACACTAATACATTTGGAATAAAACATGCCGCAGAAGCTGCCGGATCAGAAGAGCAAGGCTCTGTCTGTTTGCCTGTTGGTGCTTGCCTCTTAGACCAGCTGCCAACCAAGATTAGGAGCCTCATTGGTCCTGTCATAATATTAAGTGTTGCGGTTGCATTTCCTCTTCCAAGGATAACGCTAGTATTCTTTCCAATGTACTCCTTTGTAGTGTGATATAGCATTACTGACAACTGTTCCCAATTAACTTGATAATCAAGAAATCAGAATCATTCACAATGCAAAATGCCTAACAAAACTATAATCAATGTTCCCTGAAAGCAATGGCAAAGTGATTAGTGAGGACTATCATCACAGCAAAACTGCGGTAATGCAGGCCAAAAGAATTCCTAGTCCACTACCTATAGGGTTGAATGTTACTTGTCTGAAGCAAGTTACAGAATTTAAATACCTACAAAGCATACTGTGGGAGGATGGGTGAAAAGACTGGGAAATAGAAACAAGAGGCCAATGAGCCTGTGCACTTATATACCAACTGAAGCCATAATAAGGACATCCAAACGTAAGTATGAACGCTAAGAAACATCACAAACAGCATATTCATACCAAGCCAATGCTACCAGTACCAGACTTGCACATTATCATTATTCATAGGTGCTCAAACCTCCATCTCAAAAGCTCCACAAGAGCAAAATGACTGACTATGAATGCACTATGCTGATCAAAAGGATGTCTTGTTCCCTCAGTGAAATATTTTTAAAATGTTGAATTAAAAATCGACACCACAGCACTCGGGAAACTCCCATAAGTGCTCAGTCTCCATCTTTAGCTGCAAGTGAAGAGTTCCAATTCCGATGGTACCAGTAACGGTCTGATTGTAAATCCGTTTCATCCTTTCCCTGAGTGTGAAGCGTCGGCCAGATCCCCTGTTAACTCCTCGCAGCACCATTCTCCTTAGACTGTAATGATCTGTCTGCGCCACCCCACTGTTCACTCATTCCCAAAGGGCCCTCACAATATCTAACTTGTCATACATCAAATCCCCCCCCCCCCCCAAGTGGTGCAGAGCCAGCCAGTCTATCTGCCTGCTTATTTCCCAAGACACTGGCATAACCTGGAAAAAATATCAAAAGGATGCTAACTACCCAGGACCTATGAAGTGATGCTTGCCACTCTGCATGAAGCATGCCTGTTTTCACCTTTCTCAACATGCTCTGTCAGTTACAAATGTTCAAAAAAGTATAGTGATGTAAGAGAAGTAAATTAAATTACCTTCAGTAATGTACTTTAAAATTATGCAACCAAACATTATTCCTAATGCACTCTAAGACTACATCAAACACTGCATCCCAGTTTGTCTCCTTCAAGATTGCAGTCTGCAGGGTCAACACCACAAGGATAAAAATCCTACATGTACCAATCCTGATAAACCCTGTTTAACCGTATGGTTATACTGGTGCTCCTAGTGGTTAACAAGTAACCTCAGACCAGGTCAAGCAGGGATTAAACGCCAACGTCCCTGTGTGGGTTCTGGAGCCCTATTGTCAGCAAAACAAGAATAGACCCACTGTCTTTCCTAAAAGCATGTCATAGGAATCAACTAAGTGGGGGTATCCTTAGAAGTCAGAGTACATCTGCCTAAGAGGCAAGGAACCAAGAGTCTGCATACATATATAAGCCAGATCTGTGAAACAGAAGTGCATGCAACACTCAAGTTTTGAAACAAGGCTAGAGTCCAGATGTGGACACCCAGAACTTGCTGCCAGAGTTTACAGCAGGCAAATGTGAAGAAGAAGAGGCAGAAAAGCAAACTAAAACTTTTCCCAATGTACTTTATTATCACACACATTCAAACATTCTCTTGTATCTCTGTAAGGACAGCAGAAACAATTACCTGAGATTTCTAGCTCTGACCACCTAGACTGCTTGCCTTCTGCTATCTCATGTTTTTGCATAATCCTGTGCTGCCGTCTTTCATTCGGTGGTTCATATTTGTCTTTTGGCATTGTGATATACAGATCTGGAAGGTGGTAAACATTACAATCATTAAACACTTTCCATAGACAACTTATCCATAGAATTTGGCAATCCATAAAGGTCATAATAATAATTAGCAGTCTTCCAAAAGAACACTTTGTAAGGCCTTTATATGCCAGTGGAGAAAAGGCCCTTGACCAACTTTTTGTTTGGTTCACTCCGTGTTCTCATTCATTTCTTTAACACTTAACTCCCTAATTCAGTGGTTACCAAACAGTGTGCTGCGGCGCCCCAGGGAGCCACGACCTCTTCACAGGGGTGCCGCGAAATACTGTAAAAGCTTCATAATTAATTTGACCAAGACACAAATAGTCATACTTTTACTGAGGTTAGGGCAGCGTGGAAAATTTTCATAGAAAAAAGGGGCCGCGACCAACTAAAGTTTAGGAAACACTGCTCTAATTCCTTTGTTAGTTTTTTTTTAAACTGACACAACTCATTCAGTTCCAGATGCCTGATTGAAGCAATAATGATGACTGCAAAAGAACTGGTTCATGGCATCCACAAGGTCCAAATACACAGCACATTGTGTACGACTTATGTTGTCAGATTGATTTAGTTTGCCTGACTAAACCTGAGATGCACAAATACACAATATAAATTAGGGCTGTACCAAATATTCGCTTCGTATTCACTTCGGAGCCGAATAGTGGACCTAATAACTATTCGGTATTCGGCCGAATAGTTGAGGTCGGGCCGAATACGAATAGTGGTTAACTTACACCCGTTTCTGGACTGGTGAAAAATAAACATGTCAAGATTTCGCACTTTTTTTAAAGCTAATGCCGCTTTCACTGATTAACTAAGCTGTCAGTGACAATTTACAAGTTTAGTTACTTGTTATAAAATTAACAATACTTTCATTCCTAGGTATTAGTTACCGCAGACTGACTGAAGGATGCAAAACATGAAATGTTTTTAATGTTTACTAGTCTGTATCACGTTTTGTGAAGTAAAATTTCAGCGTACATTTGACATTATAGATAGGTTTTTTTTTTAGATTTATTTTATACACGGAAGTGGAAGAATGGGCCTCAGTTTGCATAGTGGGAAGACAGAAGTAATAATGTTATCAAAGAAAACTTTCATTCCTAAATGTGTAATAAAAGTCAATGTTTTTTTTTTTTTTTGAACAAGTACAGAAATGTGAGTATCTGGGAACATGGATACCATCAGATGGAAGATGCTTTACTGAAATAAGAAACAGAATAGGACAGGCAAAAACTGCATTTTATCAAATAAAGGGCATCATATGCAATACATCTTTGTCATTGAAGGTTAGAAAAAGAATTTTTGCTTGCTACATACATCCAGTTTTAACATATGGCTGTAAGTCATAGGCAATCGGTAGGCAGGCCAAACAATTTCTTGAGGCCTCCGAGATGTGGTTTTACAGAAGAATGCTTAGAATACCTTGGACAGCGAAAAAAAAAAAAGCAGCCAAGAGGTTTTGAAAGAGGCGGGAGCCCGAAGACAACTACTTACAGACATCAGAAGGAGACAGTCATCATTTTTCGGCCATGTTATAAGAAGAGGTAAAATTAAATATGCGGTGACCACTGGAAAGATATGTGGAAGGAGGGATAGAGGAAGACAACGAGAGATGATTCTTGACAGTCTTTTTTGCATGGCATGGAGGTGTGTCAGCACATGAACTAAAACATGCTGCAGGAAATCGCAGATTGTTGCGAGGCATAATCGCCCATGCCAGTTGGCAAGGCACCTGATGATGACGATTCACTATTCGTATTCGTATTCGGGCCGAATATTTTGTTTTAGCTATGCGTATTGCGGCGAAAGTGAAAATCACGTATTCGGTACACCCTAATATAAATTACAACCTGTTCTGGTGCCATGAGTAATATTCATTACAATGGGGCGTTTTTTGGGACGAAAATTTCCAGTGAATCAATGTTTGAAAAGACACTGGTATTTGTGGG